TTATTTTAATTAAATTACCAAAAAAACCTCTTTCAATTGGGTAGTTCTGTGTACAAAACATGGAAATAATTTATATTTTGTTTTATTTTTATTTTCACCTCCACAACATATTTTGTTTTATTTTTATTTTGTTTCTTTTAATTAAATTAACAAAAATACTACTTCAACTGGGTAGTTCTGTGTACAAAACATGGAAATCATTTATATTTTGTTTTATTTTTATTTTCACCTCCACAACAAATTTTATTTTATTTTTATTTTATTTTAATTAAATTTAAAAAAAATATTTAAACTGGGCAGTTCTGTGTACAAAACATGGAAATAATTTATATTTTGTTTGATTTTTATTTTCACCTCCACAAATTTTGTTTTATTTTTGTTTATTTTAATTAAATTAATATTTAAACTGGGTAGTTCTGTGTACAAAACATGGAAATAATTTATATTTTGTTTTATTTTTATTTTCACCTCCACAATTTTTGTTTTATTTTTATTTTATTTTAATTAAATTAACAAAAAACCTCTTTCAAATGGTTGGTTCTGTGTACAAAACATGGAAATAATTTATATTTTGTTTTATTTTTATTTTGTTTATTGTAATTAAATTAACAAAAAACCTCTTTCAACTGGGTAATTCTGTGTACAAAACATGGAAATAATTTATATTTTGTTTTATTTTTATTTTCACCTCCACAAATTTTGTTTTATTTTTATTTTATTTCAATTAAATTAATATTTAAACTGGGCAGTTCTGTGTACAAAACATGGAAATAATTTATATTTTGTTTCATTTTTATTTTGTTTATTTTAATTAAATTAACAAAAATACTTTTTCAACTGGGTAGTTCTGTGTATAAAACATGAAAATAATTTATATTTTGTTTTATTTTTGTTTTCACCTTCACATTTCCATCACCACAAAGAAAATTTACCTCACAAGTAACAACAAAAACCAAACAGAAATTCAACGGCTGCAGCTGAGAGATGGAGATTTGTGTTTGGATGGGTTTATTTTAATTAAATTCACAAAAATTCTATTTAAACTGGGCAGTTTTGTGTAAAAAACATGGAAATAATTTATATTTTGTTTTATTTTTTATTTTCACCTCCACATTTCCATCTCCACAAGGAAAATCTGTACAAATTTACCTCACAACTAACAACAAAAATCAAGCAGAAATTCAACGGCTGCAGCTGAGAGATGGAGATTTGTGTTTGGGCGGGTTTATTTTAATTAAATTTTAAAAAATACTATTTAAACTGGGTAATTTTGTGTACAAAACATGGAAATAATTTATATTTTGTTTTATTTTTTATTTTCACCTCCACGTTTCCATCACCACAAAGCAAACCTCTACAAGTTTAGCTCACAACTAACAACAAGAATCAAGCAGAAATTCAATGGCTGCAGCTGAGAGATGGAGATTTGTGTCTGGGTGGGTTTATTTTAATTAAATTAACAAAAATACTATTTAAACTGGTATAAAACATGAAAATAAGGATTGAGGAAGGGATTTGGGAGCTCCTTTACCTGCAGGGTCTGCTCTGTTCCAGCAGGGTCACCATCAGCTGAGAGATGGAGATTTGGGTTTGGGTGGGTTTATTTTAATTAAATTCACAAAA